TTCAGGGGCAGCAACCCAACAACGGGTTGCCTGATTGGTCTGAAAATTTCAGGGCAGATAGATCTTGACCTTATGAACAATTTTATCCTCATCAGATTTGCTCTTAATGCTTTGGTTTCAGAGATATGAGCCAAAAACCGCATTTTACCCTATGTACTATTTTTTAGCCATGTCGGCCATCTTGGTTCGCGGGCAGGGTCATCGGACACATTTTTTAAACTAGATAACCTAATGATGATTGTGGACAAGTTTGGTTAAATTTGTCTTAGTAGTTTCAGAGGAGAAGATTTTTGTAAAAGATTACAAAAATTCACAAAAAATGGTTAAAAATTTACTATAAAGGGCAATAACTCCTTAAAGGGTCAATTGACAATTTTGGTCATGTTGACTTATTTGTAGATCTAACTTTGCTGTACATTATTGCCGTTTACAGTTTATCTCTATCTATAATAATATTCAAGATAATAACCAAAAGCTGCAAAATTTTCTTAAAATTACCAATTCAGGGGCAGCAACCCAACAACGTGTTGCCTGATTGGTCTGAAAATTTCAGGGCAGATAGATCTTGACCTAATGAACAATTTTATCCTCATCAGATTTGCTCTTAATGCTTTGGTTTCAGAGATATGAGCCAAAAACTGCATTTTACCCTATGTATTATTTTTTAGCCATGTCGGCCATCTTGGTTCGCGGGCGGGGTCATCGGACACATTTTTTAAACTAGATACCCTAATGATGGTTGTGGACAAGTTTGGTTAAATGTGTCTTAGTAGTTTCAGAGGAGAAGATTTTTGTAAAAAATTACAAAAATTTACGAAAAATGGTTAAAAATTGACTATAAAGGGCAATAACTCCTTAAGGGGTCAACTGACCATTTTGGTCAAGTTGACTTATTTGTAGATCTTACTTTGCTGAACATTATAGCTGTTTACAGTTTATCTTTATCTATAATAATATTCAAGATAATAACCAAAAACGGCAAAATTTCCTTAAAATTACCAATTCAGGGGCAGCAACCCAACAACGGGTTGCCTGATTGGTCTGAAAATTTCAGGGCAGATAGATCTTGACCTTATGAACAATTTTATCCTCATCAGATTTGCTCTTAATGCTTTGGTTTCAGAGATATGAGCCAAAAACCGCATTTTACCCTATGTACTATTTTTTAGCCATGTCGGCCATCTTGGTTCGCGGGCAGGGTCATCGGACACATTTTTTAAACTAGATAACCTAATGATGATTGTGGACAAGTTTGGTTAAATTTGTCTTAGTAGTTTCAGAGGAGAAGATTTTTGTAAAAGATTACAAAAATTTACAAAAAATGGTTAAAAATTTACTATAAAGGGCAATAACTCCTTAAGGGGTCAACTGACCATTTTGGTCAAGTTGACTTATTTGTAGATCTTACTTTGCTGAACATTATAGCTGTTTACAGTTTATCTTTATCTATAATAATATTCAAGATAATAACCAAAAACGGCAAAATTTCCTTAAATGTACCAATTCAGGGGCAGCAACCCAACAACGGGTTGCCTGATTGGTCTGAAAATTTCAGGGCAGATAGATCTTGACCTTATGAACAATTTTATCCTCATCAGATTCGCTCTTAATGCTTTGGTTTCAGAGATATGAGCCAAAAACAGCATTTTACCCTATGTACTATTTTTTAGCCATGTCGGCCATCTTGGTTCGCGGGCAGGGTCATCGGACACATTTTTTAAACTAGATAACCTAATGATGATTGTGGACAAGTTTGGTTAAATTTGTCTTAGTAGTTTCAGAGGAGAAGATTTTTGTAAAAGATTACAAAAATTTACAAAAAATGGTTAAAAATTTACTATAAAGGGCAATAACTCCTTAAGGGGTCAACTGACCATTTTGGTCAAGTTGACTTATTTGTAGATCTTACTTTGCTGAACATTATTGCTGTTTACAGTTTATCTCTATCTATAATAATATTCAAGATAATAACCAAAAACGGCAAAATTTCCTTAAAATTACCAATTCAGGGGCAGCAACCCAACAACGGGTTGTCTGATTCATCTAAAAATTTCAGGGCAGATAGATCTTGACCTGATAAACAATTTTACCCCATGTCAGATTTGCTCTAAATGCTTTGGTTTCAGAGATATAAGCCAAAATCTACATTTTACCCCTATGTTCTATTTTTAGCCATGGCGGCCATCTTGGTTGGTTGGCCCGGTCACCGGACACATTTTTTAAACTAGATACCCTAATGATGATTGTGGCCAAGTTTGGTCAAATTTGGCCCAGTAGTTTCAGAGGAGAAGATTTTTGTAAAAGTTTACGGACGACAGATGACGGACGACGGACGCCAAGTGATGAGAAAAGCTCACTTGACCTTTCAGGTCAGGTGAGCTAAAAATGTGTGTGTCCTATTTGTTCTTTTGAACAATAAAATATGTTTTAACAGAGACATGTCTCTGGTTTTAACTAACAAAATAAAACTGCTAAAGTCATTTATCTAATCAAGCTAATGAATGAGAAATGGATGTTGGCTGAGACTACTATTACATATTAAACCTATTATTATTGTTATTATTGTTGTAAAATCAGTAGTCTCAGATGTAACATTCACATCTAGTTTTCATGTTCTAATTGTGTGTGCAGGGCCATATGTGGCACAATAAATAAGTCATGGGCTTTATTTCCTGTTAAGCTTTAAAAAAAGAAACGCGGAAGATACCAGAGACATTCAATCTTATAATTCGAAAATAAACTGACAACGCCATGGCAAAAACAGGAAAGGACTAACAGACAAACAACAGTATTCAAAACACAAAGAAAACTAAGACTGAGCAACACAACCTCCCAAAAAATATTATTTCAGAAATAATTCAGCGTATAACAGTATAACTTTCTGTAAAGATTAGTTGAAGAGATTATAATAGCCTCTCATCTAAATTAGGTCACTGGCCTTTACTTATATAAGATTTTTAGTAATGAATAGTTTGTATTTTATAAGCATCATACCAAATAAAATCATTCTGACCTATGCCTTACTCTCTTAACTCTGTTTTAAAGTTTTCCCTTCATAAGCTTGTGTTAAACATTGCATCAAGTCAAGTTCTCATCTACTCATTGACTTCTTGTCGTATAATTAGTATTATGGTGCATTTTGTAATGTAGAAAACTCCTGCCAATAGACGGACGGACGGACAGACGGACAGAGTGCAAACCTAAAGTCCCCTTCGACTTCGTCGGTAGGGGACTAAAAATCTTATATTTTTTATCTAAGATACAAGACTCAAAGTTTGCTAAAATCTATCAACACTTTAGTTTTGCCACCATAAGTAGCTACAATTAACACATTAAAAATAAAGACATAATGTTGTTGATGTGATATTTATAGATTGCAAAAACTTTTTCAAAACAATCAAAGTAAAAGACATCTTTGTAAATTGGCCAAATCTCTTTAAATAAACTGTTGACAGAGAGATACCGTATAGCGGGTTATTTTCGCGGGTGTAAAATTTCGCGATTTGGGGGCAACAAAGTATACAAAAAATTTTGGCGGTTTTTATTTTGGTGGATTCTTAAATCCCAATTAAATATTTTGGTGGATACTGAAATTGTTGAAGTTAAAAGTTGTAAAACTTGACAAACAAGTGTCTATTGTTATGGTTAATTAATTATTTTTTTATCGGAATGACCTCTTATTTATTGATTAGTTTCTGATACAGTTAATCATTAGAATACCGTTAACTTAGATAATTGTTCGTAAAATTCAAACGTCTTGTAAATTTTACGATTGATTAGATTTGACGTACCTTTGATGTAGTTAATAATTAGGTTACAAACTTATCATGAGTGTTTACAACTCTTGTATAGTTTGACACTAATTAATATGGGATAATTACCTGATAGAGTACCTTACACTCTTATTCTAATTGACACGTATTAATAAGGGTATACACACCAGACAGTCATTTTATAAAATACATTTATGTACAATGACCTTTGGCATTTATCTTGTTAAAACTAACATATACCGTTATTGACCTGCCAACAGGGAAAAATAAATCGTTTCCAAATCCTTTAACCATGTTAACTTCGAAACTACCAAACGTATGCATAAATTTTCGCGGAATTTATTTTCGCGATTTTTGTTTATCCGCCAAAATAAGCGAAAATAAACACCCCGTGAAAATAACCCGCTATACGGTATATCTCACATTTTGTAATTTGACAGTTTATGCAAATGCTGAAATTCAAATGGCAATATTTAAACAAACTTTTTAACTTTTAAACTATGTAAAACATTGAAAGTCAATAGACCATGACCTAGGGGGCAGCGCCAAATAATCTCCAAGGAAATGTGATGTGCTACTGCTAAAACGTCTGCATACAAAATATCATTGATCTACAACTTATGGTTCCCCTTAAACTGGTCTTATCACATATTTTAACATGTAAAACATTCAAAGTCAATAGACCATGACTGAGGGTGCGGGCCAAATTATCTCCATGGAAATGAGATGTGCTAATGCTAATACATCTGCATACAAAATATCATTGATCTACCACTTATGGTTCCCCTTAAACTGATCTAATCACAAACTAATACAAGTCATGTTAACATGGTAAACTAAGCAAAAGTTTCAAAGTCAATAGACCATGACTGTGGGGGCAGGGCCAAATAATTTCCATGGAAATGAGAAGTGCCAATGCTTATACAACTGCATACCATATTTCATTGACCTACCACTAGTGGTTCACCATAAACTAGACCTAATCACAAACTAATACATTGTTGACGCCACTGCTGACACCTCCGACACCACTTCCAATGCCAAAAACAGCACACCGTGTTTCGAATTATTTCTTTGTTGGTGCGAGACAAAAAAGACTACTTATAATTTCTTGATAAAGAAGAGAGATTAAACAATGCATTTAAAGTACATGTATTTTGATACATACCACCATACATGATCTTGATATATACAAATGGCTCTTTAAAACAAAGAATACACTTGTATACAAATTCAATAATTTTATTTCAGTCATAATTAACACAACAATGAAGCAGTAACAACAATATAACATGTCTATCCCCATGTGTAACAGTGTTATATAAATTTCATGTTTATCCCTATGTGTTAGGACATTGTCATGTTTATCCCAATGTGTTTTGACAATGTCATGTTTATCCCAATGTGTTTTGACAATGTCATGTTTATCCCCAATGTGTTGTAACAATGTCATGTTTAGAGTGAAGACACTTTTTTGTTATGGTATATTTACAAATGTGAATAACAAAGCACTTTTATACTGGGAGGCTACAACAGGATGGAGCATAAAACTACTATAGAAAGTTGTTGAATTTTGAATTAAAGCAAACTTATCCAAATTAAAGAAAAAATATAATTCATTGTATTTCAAACATTTTTAGGATCAGAAACACTAAAATTTAGCACATGGAATCACCGGCAAGTATTTATACATGAAGAGCAATTTGGTAGAAAAATTTAGCCTGAAAAGAATTGCCAACAACCTTAGGTATACTAAGGGAGTTAATACCTAGAGATTCTGTATCCACATGTAATTTATTTACTTCTGTAATCCAAGACAATTCTGAATGACTAACTTTTGAGTCCACAAAATAAAATGATTATAAACAAATTCATATTAGAACCCATCATAGCTATTTAAACACTGAAAAAAGTGTATATAGAAAAAGTTAATAAAAGAATATGATAAACTTGTACATAGTGAGCAACTGGGATAGAACAAGGTCAACACCTCATTTCACATAAAATCTTAAAAATTTGCAAGACATGAACATTTCAGTATATCTCAAGATCAATTGTAAGATTTTTGTGAAAAGTGTCCCTAACAAAGAAAATTTCTCACTAAAAGACTTTTTCAAAACTTTTCAGGTCTTTTCCTGCAGTAAGAGTCGTATACCAAAAGAAGTCCAATGATATAGCTGAATGTTCATCATATGTTTAGTGATAGAAGAGTATAAAACTCAACTTCCTTCAAAGAATGTCTTCACATAATCATTGCAGCAAAAAAAAAATATCATGAAATTGTCTTGTTAACTTATAAAAAAATTCTATCTAAACCCACAAAAATGTATGTTTTTGACAATCTAAAATAAAATGAGACTCATTCTCTATTTCAAATGACTGTTAATTGTGCAGAATGCAGTCCAATAAAAAAAGGCACTTATATTTTATCACTTGGGTTTAATCATTTTGAGCAATTCATTTAAAATTACATTTTTCCTTCTACAAAAAAGATGTGTTTTTAACTTTTTTATAAGTGGGTTTGCTTCATTTATAAGCTCAAACTTCCCCATACACAACCCCAAAAAGACATAAAATGATTTGATATTCGTTTAAATGTACAGGTAATAAATCAACAGTTTGGACATTCCAAAAAAGGCACTTGAAGACATCCAGTATTTTTTCATAGGTGTCAACTAATCAAACCTCAAAAGTTAAACATCTCCCTCTTAGAAATTTTTTTTTTACATAAAGAAGAAGGGGCCAAAAGGTGTAACACCACTTATTGGGACCCGGTGAGAAAGCACATACCAGAAAGAAATACATATTTAACACAAAAGAGTTCCTACGCATGGGTGTAACTTTCAAAGTATGTATTTCATTAATTTTGGTATCGAATGAAAGCAGACATTGTCGAAGGCTTTTTGACTTATAATTTTGAATAATAAAAAAATTGCATGAAATTTTAAAAGGAGGGTACGTATTGCCTGTTTGTCAGATCTGAAGTATCTGTTTTGGTACATTCGAAGTTCCCTCTTAAATGCAATTAAAAGTATGTTGATTTTTTCAGTGCAAGACACCATAAGATATTGCTTTGACATGCAATGATTGTCACTTTATTTGAACTAAAGACAAAAGAGCCTGCTTGAAATTGAGGGATTTAACATTGGAAGTAATGGGTCCATGAATTAGTGGTGTGATTCCATAAGGCTTAAAATTTAGTGCAAAATTATCATACAGATCTTAAATTTGTCATAAAAAAAGTTTAGGTAAAAGGAGTTTAAAAAATAAAAAACAAATTTAACAATGGAAAAGTTACCATAGAATCAAATAATAGGTCATTACCTACAAATCATATATATATAGAAGTTTAGGGGAATATACATGATATATTCTGCCAAAAAATATTTGACAATATTTAATTTATTGAACAGGATTTTACAAAACTTGTTTGGCCGCCAAACATTTATTTAAATGAAATGAGATTGAAAAAGAAAGAAATATGAATTTTTTTTTCTTTTTCTAAAGTGGGACTTTTGACTCCTTGTCTCGATATTTGTTTTTAAAGGAAGTTCAACAATTTTCCATTTAAATATCTGGCTGCTCCCAGTGACTGCTGAAAAGTTGACACCTATGCTTTTTGTGAAGATAACATATATAGATATAGGAAGATGTGGTATGAGTGCCAATGAGACAACTCTCCATCCAAGTTACAATTTATAAAAGTAAACCATTATAGGTCAAGGTACGGCCTTCAACACGGAGCATTGGTATTTATTGTCAGTAAGACCTGCAAAATATTTTCCAAAAATACTAAATGTTTCATTTTTATGGTAAAAGTTTCCAATTGGTTAAATGGCTTCCCTGCACTTCAAAAATGATGGACATATAGATGATACAAAATTGTTCTATATAGCGTCAAGAAACATACATATAGTTTATTGTCTCTCTGACATAATTCTAATTCTATCGATGTGTGAAAATGACTGATGTATACCATGTGACCATGGCAATTAAGACGACATAGAAATTATACTGGAGATTTTTTTCATTACACGCTCATAAGACATATGACATAAGACATTTTAATCTGCTCACAACTTTATACCATGGGTTCATTATCTATTACATGGACTAGAACTTTTTGTGTTCGAAGAAAGTCCTTTTCCAGGTATGCTATGAACACTATGAAAATTTCATAACTGAAGTGGACCTAATCAGAAGTTTAGAGAGTAAAAGTACTAGATGTTGTCTCTTAATGAAATGCCTGATATTTACAGCTTGTTTTGTAATAGAAATTGATTCTGCAGCTCACAAATAAATGTTCATTGACCATAAAAATAATCTTTATTTGTAAACAATAATTTACTTTAAGTCCATTCTGTAAATTTGAAAATCTTTGCCATGTTTTTTCAAGAGTTGTTAAACAAGGGCATTAATTTTTTATATATATTAAATTTTGTGGTCTTAATGACTAAATGAGCCTTATTACAGAAGGCAAAGTGTAATCGACTATCGAGAAATGCACAGCATCTATAATTTAAACTTTTGGTTCTGAATTTTTCCTATTGCCATAGTCACAGTAAATGTTCGAATTTATACACGATTTATGAATTTTTGGTACAATATTTTACAAATGAGTCAAAGCTTGATGCATGTGATCTATTATAGAGTCTTTCTGTTGTGAGGACACAGCATATTTCATGGCCCATGTGACTATTTTCTCTGCAAACATATGTCTCTCGTTTTCTGTCAGGGAATCGCTCTTTCCGCACATCACTAGCAACAGTTTCACAGAATCCATTGGGTTAGGAAATGGTGTCTGTCAAGAATAAAAATATCATGAAATACTGTAAAGTTTAAATCATAAGCATTAAATCCAACAACTCTTGAACTAGTACATGTATCCATTATTTTCATTCCATTTTGAAAAAAAATTAATATAATTTATTTGAATGCATGTCAATTTAATTCTGACAGCAATTACTGTTGAAATATGAAAACAGTATTTGTCTACCAAATTAAATAATTTCATATAACATTTGATGTCTTTAAATCTTTATTTATCCTAAACTGGAATAAAATATTTCATAAAAATATCTTTGTACAAGACTGACAAACTGAGTCATCTTTTTAATGTCTTCGCTCACAAGGTAATAGTCAGCAGGAAAAAATGTCACTCTACTCTGAAAAGTATTGACAAATGTCTTTGTTTTTACTCTAAAATGTTAAGTGCTTGACCTATAACCCCAAAATAGCAATTTTAGAGTCTTTGGATTTACATAGCCAGGGATTAAACCTATAGCTACGAAAATTCCAGGCAGTTAACATGACATGGAAAATTTCTCAAGGCAACGATTCAGCTGAAACCTTTACTCATTAAATTAATTCATGTCATCAATTTATTGTCATGTTAAACAGCTTTTTAAAAAAGCTACTGCTGTAAAGATGACATAACTGTTGAAGAAGAATTTTGAAGACTTATCATTAATTTTACCTGTATGGCATCAGGACCATTCTTCAACTCCTGCATCATGTACTCCTGTTCCTCTTTTAGTATTGCCATGGTAACATATTTCATTGTATATTTTTGATCAGCAGGCATGTTGTACCATTCATCAGGCACATTAATGTATTTATTAGGATTAATAATGCTGGTTAAATTTTCTTTCCCAGAATGCACTATTGCTAATGGATGATGAGGTTCATCCTCCCATAAGACCTTCCGTGACTTGATCAACCAATCAGACGACATGTATAAATCAGGATCCTCAATTAGATCTTTATCAATGCTGGAGTATTGAAGAGACATAGTTTCCAGACTTGGTTGACTTCCTGTTGATGCTGAACGATGGCACATTTCTAGTTTCTCGTGTACTTGAGGTTTTTGAATGACAGGTTCACTGGAATGACGTTTTTTACCCATAGCCGACCCCTGCATTTCAATTAATGATCCAATAGACGATCTTGCAGACATAGATTCTCCTTGAAATTCGGGATTTGACGTTGGTATTGCCTGATGGTCCAGAGGAAGAATTTCTGACATGGTTTGAGAATTAACTTCCGCTTGCGAAGGTGATGGTGATATTGAACTAGGTTTTAAATCCAGCAAAAGTTGAGAAATTCCCTTGTATATATAACCTAATGTTTCAGTAAGTGCATATCGTTTGCCTTGTATATCCCAAAGTAAACCGCGAGCCACATGTGAAAGCTTCGAAACACTGAGACGATACTCTGGGGTTTCAAAAGACATAAATCTAAAGGTTTTTGGCCTTGCACCTATTCCACTCACTAAACTTTGATCAGCTGATCCACCCACTGGATTCGCTTCGTCATCAATCTTAACGTAAAATTTGATTTTTTCAGCCAAATTTTCTTCTGTATCAGATGATTTAATGTTCTCAAGCTGACCAGATAGGCTAATGCTAGTATCAGAATGTGAAGCCAAACAGCTTGTACTACTATCAGATGTAGAAGGCAAATTTTCACTTTCCAACTGAATGCTCACTTCTGAATTTTCTTTACCGACATTAGCCATTTGATCACTTTTCGTATCAGAGATTTCTTCAGTTTTTGAATTGTTATTTTCACATTCCCTAATACCTTGTATATTTTCACCTGAATCAATTTTAACAACCTCCTGCACATCGCTCTTACTTTCACTTTTGATTTCTAAATTTGAGTTTTCACTTTCCTTTCGATCATCCTCTTTTTTGCCTAAATTCTTTCGTAAATAATTCAAAATGGCCACAAAATAATAAGCTCTAAGGCAGTCTAACTCCCTGCATCGTAAGCCTCCATTTGAAACAGAGTCCTCGTCTTTTAGTTCCGACATGTAACGTTTGATCGTGTGCATTTTTGACGTATCAAAGTCAATATTATTCTCCATACTAATAACAACCCTCATGGCAGTAATCTCCTGTTGTAACTTCAGCATATATTTTGGCCCTACAATTTACAAAGAGAATAATACAATAATGTAAGTGTTACCACATATAAAAATCAATTACTGCAAACCAACTGTTTTTCGCAGATACTTTATTTTGCGTTTAGCCCATGCCAGTCGACTTCCAGGCAATTTATTTTCGTGATGTTCTAATTTTCGTCATCTTTTTCATTACTGGAAGATATAAATTCTAAATAATTCATGACTACTTATATTCGTGTTTATAATTTTCCTAATCCTGAAAGTGGTGAAATTATATTGGTCACGAAAATTGGTTGGTTTACAGTATTTAATATGTTTATCTGGTTCTCAATAATACTTTCTCCAATGGTTATGGCCCATTATCCATTTCTAGCATGATGAGATATGGAGTGTGATACGAATAAGTGATACGAAAAATTTGTTAATTTGATTGGCTTATCCAGCATCATGAAACCAAATTGTGACATTTATATATGCTATTTGTTAGGCCATTGATGACTTTCAAAGGTCAAAACAATGTACATTTCCTTCTTGGTAACTGACATATGTAATTACTTTCATAATGTACAAAATATTCACACTTTCCACCTGAAAATCTTCTTTTTTGTCAAATCTTATAGAATTAGCCAAAGGCTCGTTTTTTGTATTATTTTGTTATTAAATACCTCTGGTTGATATCAAGCAATATCCAATTCTTACTTGTTATGAAACCTATAATTATCTGTTAGATTTTAGAATTTCGGTATTCCATATGTCATTATAAACATAGGTTTACACGCTCTTCCTCTTTTTTTTTAAATAAGTTTTGGATTTTCAAATATTTTGGCCTTGAGTATCACTGAAGAGATATTAAATGTCCAAATATGCATCTAGTGCAGAAAAATTGGTACTGTTAATGTTAAAACTCATGTTTGGTACCATTATATAATTTAATTTTGGATGCAACACGTCATCTGATTAGCTGAAAGTTTTTTGTCTATCAGCTCTTAGACATAATTTTGTCATGTGACATTGACGTCATCAACGTTTTTTTCATGATCTACTCCTTTAATATGGAATATAGAATTGAATTATAATGACTGACTGTAAAAGTTTTTCTGTCTATTCTGCCTTAACTGTTCTTTTGGTTTTAATTTTGCATTTTTCTAGTCTTTGATTCTAATCTTCTCTAAAAATACTTTACCAAAGCAAAAATCTGACTGGAAAAGAAACATCCAATTTGTTTAGGGGCCTAGGAGGCCAAGTGGTCTAAGTAGTCCAATTACAATATCACCAGCCTGTCAACAATGAGGCTGTGAGTTTGAACTTAACATGTGCAGGTGTGCTAAACTGCAATCTAAAGTTGGTACCAAACACTTTGACTAAAATTAATTTGGCTCGTTTAATTTTCATAAAATTTTGACAAAATATTCACTTTGACTCTTTGAAAAAAATATAAAAATTTCAAAAAACTTGAACCACACACTTTATCCGAAAAAATTTCATTAGATATATAGCAGTTTGATAATCACTTAATTTTGATCATTGAGAAGATTAATATTTCCTTAACAATAGAACGTGATTAAAATGTTCAGCTGATTTTTACAGAGTTACCTCCCTGTAGTGTTATGTACCACCTTAATTGTCAAGTTTTTTTGCCAAAGGTTAGTGGTTTTTCCCTGGCACTTTGGCTTCCACCAACAATAAAAACTGACAGCCACAAAACAGCCTTTAGTGTTGAAAGTGACATTAAACACCAATCAATCAATCAATCAATCCAATTTGTTTAAACAAAATAATCTGAATTACTCACCCTGTGGAAGGAACAATTTGAGCAATATTTCCATTACTTGTAAGTGATTAGCTTCATGTAGACTGCTGACAGCTTTCAGCAGATGTGAGATTGCCATGGGAGTCTCTGACATCAACAAGGACAGCAGACACAGGACTAGGTCTATACTGATCTGTACCAGTAACTGCAATAGATGAACAGATACGATTAATTCAGAAATCACGTTATAAATTTCATGCATCCGAATTTAATGTTAAACTGTTTGATCACAAAGAAATCAAATAAATCTTTTCATTCATCAATTTCAATCCTTAACAGCAGGGTTTAATTCAGTTTTCTACCATGATAATTCTAACAAACATTTAACTAATCATATTTTTCAATGAATTTTTTATACTGATGGACAGATTTTAACTTTTTTATGAGTATTACGCAAATTTGCAACATACAAGGAAGGAAAAATAAAGTTATCCTCTTTTGCACTGATAAAAAATTTATATAAATGAAACTTAATGACTAATGACCCTAATGTACTGATGCAAATAAAACAAGAGTGCATGTGAAGTCATTCTAAGCATTACACCACATGTTATTCAAAGTACTGTCAATTAGGAGGTAAGAGTCGGACAGATCAGAAAAGCGAACAAACATGTGTTGTTTAGCTGCTGACCAAATATGAAGTCGCTCTGTTTAGTAGTATTTGAGAAATGTTCAAAGAATTGTTTTTAGTTTATTTGAAATATTTGAAAAACTTGACGAATTATTTAACAGGAAGTAGGTATCTGACAGATTCAAAAGGTGTTCGCACATTATCCCTCATCTATGTCAAATGGGAGGGCCCTGGTGGCCGAGAAGTCTAAGTAGTCAAACTACTATCACTAGCCTGTCAACACTGAGGTTGTGAGTTCGAATCAGGCACGTGGCAGGTGCACTTGCCTCCAATCTTAATTGACTACAATTGTCAGTTTCCCTACTGAAGGTCGGTGGTTCTCTTCTGGCACTCTGGCTTCCTCAACCAATATAAGTTGACCACCACGAAATAGCACAATAGTGCTGAAAGTGGCTTTAAACGCCAATCAAATCAGCCATAGTCAAAAGGCTGACCAAATATGCAATCATTTTGTTCAATAGTTTCTGAGAAAAGAGGGAAAGAAATATGTATTGGACAAATGAAGGTAATTGCAATATAGACCTAACTTGTGGAGTGAAGGTACACAATTACAAATGAGTAAATAGGCAGAAAAACAATGACTCTGCAATACCTGAATGTGTGGTATTCCTGTGGTAAAACCACACTCATAAAATAAAAAGGAAGTGTCAGAAAATTAGCTATCAAATAAGATATGTCTGAGACACATTTTTATTGCATTATCCAAACATTATCAAGGTTATTTTACAAAGATGTAAGAGGTAAACTTATTAATTTAATCTATTATGAATAAAATTATCATTCATCATGACATATTTTCAAATGTTTATTTAACAACACAATCTCGTTAATATCTTGCAACAACGTTTAATCTTGTGGACAAACCTTTTATTTCAAAAGGGAGATAACTCTTCATGTATCAGATATTACCAGAAGTTCTGTGAATCTCCTTATTGGCTGTTCCAGAAAAACTATTTTTAATCAATTATTTCCTATACTGTAAGTCCAGAAATTTTTGCAAGCATAAATTATTGTGATTGTTCAAAAAGGAAAAATTTTTGCGATTTAGGAAACATTGAAAACAACAATGCTATCAAAATTTAAAATGCAAGTTTTAACCTTTTACAAAACCTATTTCGTTGTCTCTAAATAAATTGGAAGAAAATTTGTTTTTTTTCAAAATAAATTTAGCATATCTGTCTTAATTTGTTGGAAAATTGCTGTTTTGGCCAAAAATCTATGGGTTCAATGCCAGGTGCAACTGTATTTGAGAGAATTTTGTCGCCCAAAGGGAGAAAACAAATCATCCCCTAACCCTTAAGTTGTACACAAACTGATAATTTTATTTTTTTGTTGGATGTATCAAAAAAATTCTGAGATAATCTAAGTGGCACCTAAAGACTTTCATTTGAGAATATCATGGCAAACATGACCTTTTTTAGAGTTGAAATACAGAAACAGATCTTATTTATTATTGGGTTATCTTTCTTTTAAGCATTTGTCTACTTAAATTTCTCAAGAGTTTTCAAAGAATGGCATATTAAATTTGGAGGTTTTTTAAAAGGAAATGGTACTTCTTTTGCCTAAGTTTTGAAAAATCTCTTTCTGTAAAAAGGAATGTTTTTTTACCACAAAACTTCAGGGCACCTCAGTTATGTTTTTAAAGAAATGACTTTTCATTTTGGGGCCATTTATAGCTGACTGTGCGGTATGGGCTTTGCTCATTGTTGAAGGCCATACGGTGACCTATAGTTGTTAATTTCTGTGTCATTTGGTCTCTTGTGGAGAGTTGTCTTATTGGCAGTCATACCACATCTTCTTTTTTATATTTGCAAAGAGGAATTTAGTTTTTTTTTAAGTAACCAAAGGTCCTTTCTCAAAACCAATCGATCCTAAACCTTACCATTGACAATTGTTAATTCTAGTCTTATACATAAGGCTTACTTGTGGCAGTTCTGTTTGAGCTTGTCTCCCAGCATGCAACACACTCAATGACTTATACATTTCCTCAAGACTATTGGTATCCATGGTTATGCCTAGGTTACCATACCAGATTCTCAAAACATGGTGGGGAAATGTGTGCCCTTCAACAATGTTTGGTTGCCACGGTGATATTGGATCATTTTCATCTGGGTCTAAAATGAAATCTGAAAAAAAAACCTCATTTTATTTAATATTTTATGTATGTGTTTCTACTGTACATGACATTTAGATATCAGTGGGAGGGGGGCCTTCAAACAATTTTAAGAAAATTTGGAAATCTTCACCTTTGGATCAGTCTGCAGGCAGGGAGATAACACTTTTTATTTCGCGAAAAACATCCCAAATTTCTCCCTCTGTCACCATTATTTTATTTTTAAAAAGATGTTCATTACCTGCTGTCTTGAATAACATAAAACGAAATGTCCATGTTTTGGTTTTGAAGATCCCAATTATCTCACAGATCAAATTCAAAATAGCAAATGCAAAAATTCGTCATGTCAAAGAAATGATGCAAGTTAAGTAATAATCTGTCTAGCTTTTTTCAATGAGTCAAATATTAATAAACTGTTATACACAGAAATGGTTGAATCCATGTTTTTGTATGGGAAATCCTAAACATCACTGATTGAAAATTAAAATAGCAGGAGCAAAACTCCATGTCCTATATCTGTGAAAGTCTGGTGGAATTCTGACTGATATTTCAACTAATTCTTCACTAATAACAAACCTGGTAAAATGGGAGTAACTTGAAGTTTCTCTGACCAGTCAGTCAGGTTGTCCTTTTCTACAGTGATCAAATCATCACTGCATTTTGTTATTTCTACTGCTAATAACTCATGCATAGCTGTTACAGCAGATAACAACTGAAACAAAGAAGCAAAAGTATCTATTACATGTATAGTCTTTGCTGCAGATAGCAATATTTATTTAGAAGTAAGAATTCAACTCTTTTTTAGCTTTTACTGCAGAAGGCAGCTAAAATGTCTGAGACTGTCACTCATGCTTAGCTTTTACTGCAGAAGGCAGCTAAAATATATGAGACTGTCACTCATGCATAGCTTTTACTGCAGAAAACCTCTTCAGACCACCTGAGATAAACCCCAGTTTTTTTGGGTTCATGTTTCTCCAGTCTTTTTATGTAGCGTTTTGTAGACCGGTGTGTTGTTGTTTTTTTGTTGTTTTTTTTGCCTTGATTTATTCAGTCTCTCTCTAATTTATTTTCGATTCTCCCTTTGATAATTTTTGCCTCAAATTAAAAAAAAATATAGACTGAGACTCGTGCTCAAATATACATATCTTTTTTTTTTTCAAACATTTTCCTCATAAACAAGCACAAATGGTGTGAATGTTGTTATTTTTAGAGCAAGCATCCATAATCACAAAAATAGTGTGGATTCATTTATTTTTGTGGGTGTCAATTTTCGTGGATTGAGGAAAACTTCGTGGATATCTAATTTAGTGATTTTGCAAAAGTCTGCATACAACCTTATAGAAAATGTGTCATTTGTTGAAAATTTAAATTCATGAATCACAAAAATTGGAATCTAACGAATAATAATGAATCCACAGCAAGCAGTAAAAAATGTTGAAATACCTGAAGATGCTTGTCTTCCTTGAGGAAGCTGTATGCCTCTTTCCACTGGTTCTGTATAAGGTACTGTTGGACCACTTTCTGGGCATACACCAACCCCTGCTGTTTGTCTTTAGCTATCATACAGACATGGGAGGCGGTACGGAGGCTTGGCTGGTTATATCTACGAGCCAGAAGGTTAGCAGCATCCTGAACCTGCCTCATAGCCAAGTGGCTGAAAGGAAACAAATGGTATACTCAATAGACTATTTTCATATTACCGATTATTGACTCTGGAGTTTATACTCTTTGGTAGGACATCCTGGTACTGGGTCAAGTTAAAGCAACGTAAAAAATTAAATCAAGCTTTCAATTGGTATAATTTAGGGGTAAAATTAACAGTTTTATGTTTTCTAAACACAACAAGATAATTGGAAAACAGTAAACTTTCCCCAAAAATTGCACCAATTATATGTTTAATTTTACTTCTTTTGGTTGCACTTACTTGACCGAGTAACAGGATGTCCTACCACAGATTAGGCAACCTGTCTAAAAATATATAAATCCAGAGTCAAAAGTCTGTATATGAAAATAGTCTATTGAGCAGCAGTATTTAACTTATAGCTGTGGTTACATTAGTTGGCTTTCTGTGAACTATTGTTCACTATGATACACCTGCTTTAAGTATTTGGTAAACAGGCAGTTGTTGAGTGATGGATGTAATAACACATTACAGTATAGCATGCTCACATGAAGCTTCATATCAAATTTCAAGAGTCTCAGATTCATCATTTCTGAGAAAAATGCAACGAAAATGTAAGAATATATAAAAATTTCTAAGTACAGGAATTTGATGAGCATTGAATGTGAAAAATGCATCACAAGGTAAAGCATGCTCAAATGAAGTTGATTGGACCCATAAAATTTATGAAGTACGATTTTCAATTTTTTGGCGAGACAAAACACCTCACAATAATTTCCTACTTAACAGTAATAATCTACTACTATTATCTGAATGTTATCCTTTTACTGAAAAATAATCATACCATTTAGCTGCTTGTTCGTAGTTTCCATCCTTAGTCAGCTGGTGTGCCCACAACGTATACAAATCTTCCAACACAGGGTCAAAGGGAGATAATCTAACTTTTGCCAAGGCTATAGCTTCCCTGTAACATACAAATTTGATAGATCACATAAAGTACTGTAAAAAAAAATTTCGTTGAGTGAAGTGTCAACTCAAATATCAGTTGGAAACTCCATTTGTTTTTTTTTTTGGTTAAAAAAGGACAGATAGATCAAACCCTCAAATCTCCAATTTAGAAGAAAATTCTCTAAAGCCAACCTTACTCCATCTGTATCATTCAATTTTGTTGATTGAATTATAATTAAACATAGGTGTCAACTCAAATATATGTTAGAGCCTCCTTTTGATTATTTTGTTTAAAAAAGACTGGAAGAAAAAATACCTCTAATTTTCAATTTAGAAGAAAAATCTCTAAAATCCCCTGCCCCTCTTCTCCATCTGTAAAGAGCAATTTCGTTGAGGGAAGTATAATTCAACATAGGTCTCAACTCAAATATCAGCCTCCCCATTTTTTTTGTGTTTAAAAAAGACATAAAGATCAAACCCTTTAATCTCCAATTTAGAAGAGAAATATCTCCATTTCTTCTCAATCAAAATTGTTAATTCTGTAAAAATTAACAAATCATAAATCAAAACTGTACAAGAATTATTTGTATGGGGGGGGGTAATCATAAAAATTGATGGGTAGTACCGGTAGTTATTTTAGAAAGACATCCTAAACAATTCATTTGAAATAATTGAAATGTATGGTAGGCTGAAATTAAAAGTGCCTTCTGACCACTTTCTTGAACAGCACTAATACAAATTTAGATTACTGAAGCAACCAGACATGTTAAATTCACTCATTCATTTTTTAAATGTTGGAAATTTTAAATGTTAATATCTTATCTGAACTAAAAGTCAAATGAGATCTATACTGAGGATCTATAGTAAATCTTTGACTAAAAATTTTCCTCTAGAAAGTGTCACTCCTTCACACTCCCCCCTCCCCCCTCATTGGATGTTTGAAAAGTTGACAAGTTGACACCAATATGATAATGTTTACAACATACATATTAGCTTTTAGAAAAATAAACGTAGGCGTAAATATACATATTGTAACCATAAAACTCATAACATATTATCAATCTCAACTGGGCTGTTCCAAAATTGATTGTATGGGGGTTTGGAAGGCATGATATATATATAGGGGTGGTAGAGATCAAAACAACAAGAAGACTGCAACCAAACAACAATAGTAAAAAACCAAATCAATCCAGCAAAACCAAAATGGCCACCTTGTTCCAGCTTGACACCAACAAAAACATTTAAATGCTCACCAAACGCCTTCAGGCACCGAGCCGACCGTGCGAGTGCTGTAAAGCCAGTCAAGGTCGTTAAACACTTCCATCATCATCAAACAACTTTTCACAAAATATTGAATTTTATTTCTGATTAAAATTGTATGGGTAGGGGTCTTAGTAAAATAGAGCTTTCCACCTGATCCCCTTAGATTTAATTTTGAAAAATCCCATAGAAATACCTAGATTTTGTGACATAGCCATGTGATCAATCAACTGCTTGGAAACACATAATAATTCATTATTTTTGCCTTTTGATGGATATTTTGTTTTCATCAATGGAAATAAACATCAACTTGGGGTTTCTTTTTCACACCCAAAGAATGAAAAAAATGATAATTTTATTCAGTTTTTAGGTGATTGATGCATCAAGGCACATGATAAATACTTCTCTGGTGTTTGATTCACATTTACAGCAAAACAAGCTGAGAACTTAGCCTAAGGTCACGATTAGTTTCCTATATAAATAAAGAACCTATGTTATATGAATTGTATTGCTTTCTGTTTTCTGTTCATTCAGATGTTTCTTATCGAAAATAAAATATTTTTTGGTTATAAAAATAACGAAGACATATATTCAAATTAGACATTCATGTGAAAAAAAATGACCTTTCTGCACTTACATGATAAACACACCTGATTTTTGACATATTATTCTAATAAACAATAAAATATATACACTACATTTCTTGTTACAAAATATGACATCTCTCAATAAAATAAACAGGTTCAACCCAAAATATTTCATTTTTGAAATGATATATATCTTAATTAGAAATACATATGAAAAAAAATCAGTGTTAAAAGTGCACATAGTGATTTTGTCAAAGTTATGAAAGAGGACCACCTCCGAGTGCAGGATTTTCTCGCTGCGTTGAAGACCCATTGGTGGCCTTCGGCTGTGTCTGCTCTTTGGTCGGGTTGTTCTCTCTTTGACATATTCCCCATTTCCATTCTCAATTTTAATCTTCTATTTGCATCTTTTTAACACTTAAGTCCTTACCTCTGTATGTTTATAAGGCTCTATAAAATCCTGACAACTTTTATTATTAGAAAAAAGTTGATAAAGATGTTATTGACTCTTAAAATAACTTATATTTTTGTTCATAAATCAATTCAGAAAAAAATTCATTTAAGAGTTACCTCTCATTTGGTTGAACTTCATTTAAAATAAATGTTTTTTTCAAACATTAAACAGCACTGAATTTCAGAAATTTTTAAATTTGTTTCCAAAAAAAACTTTTGGATCTTTTCTTAAAACTATTTTGTTTGGTCTATTAATGACAAAGATACACAATGGACAATTTATGTTACATGCTTTTTGGGCATAAAGGTCCATTATTTAAGTGTTTTTTGCTTGTTGTGTTGTCACAAATCTCAAAATCATTTCAAAATTGACTTAAATCCTTGTATTTTCATGGAACTCTTTTCATGCAGTGTTGGGGCCTTGGTGGCAGAGTGGTCTAAGTAGTTGAACTACTGTATCACTAGCCTATCAACACTGAGGTTGTCAGTTCAAATCCCGCACTAGACAGGTGCACTTGACTCCAATCTTAATTGACTAGGATTGTCAGTTTTCCTACCAAAGGTCTGTGGTTCTCTCCGGGCACTTTGGCTTCCTCCACCAATAAAAACTGACCGCCACGAAATAGCACAATAGTGTTGAAAGTGCCGTTAAACACCAATCAATCATGCAGTGTTTTTCTTATGATCTTATATGTATAGTTAAGGACTATATGTTCTGAACCTGTTATCTAATATTTATAAAATTACTAAATAGAGAAAAACAAAGGATATGGGGTATCCATCCATGACACAAAATCAGTACATGCATAGCAAATAAACTGTTATCACAGAGATATGTCTCGCCTTTTTGTAATTTTGATAATGCAAATGTTGAAATTAAAATAGCAATACTTTAACATGTGAGTTATGCAAATATTCAAAGTCGATGAACCATGACTGAACATACATGGCTAAACAATCTCCATGGAAATGAGATGTGCCAATGCTAATACAACTGCATACCAAATACCATTGACTTATTATAAGTTGTTCCCTTTAAACAAACCTAAACACAAACATAAACATAAACTATGTAAAAGTTTCAAAGTCAATGAACCATGATGAGGGGGTGGGGCTATATAATCTCCATTGAAACGATACTTGCAAATGCCAATAAATTTGCATACCAAATATCATTGACTTAACATTAGCAGTTATCTTAAACTGATCTAATCACAAACTAATACATGTAAACTAAGCAAAAGTTTCAAAGTCAATAGACCATGACTGAAGGAGCGGGGCCAAATATTCTCCATGGAAATGAAATGTGCTATTGCTTATACAACTGAATACCAATTAACATTGTCCTTCCACTATTGGTTCCCTTTGAACAGACCTAATCACAAACTAATACATGAAAACTAAAACAAATTTTCAAAGTAAATAGACCATGACTGAGGGGGCAGGGCCAAATATTCTCCATGGAAATGAGATGTTCTTATGCTTATACAACTGCATACCAAATATGATTGATCTACCACTAGTGGTTCCCCATAAACTGACCTAATCACAAACTAATACATGTAAAATTAAACAAAAGTTTCAAAGTCAATAGACCATGACTGAGGGGGCAGGGCCAAATAATCTCCATGGAAATGAGATGAGCCAATGCTTATACAACTGCATACCAAATATCATTGACCTACCACTTGTGGTTCACCATAAACTAGACCTAATCACAAACTAATACATTGTTGACGATGCTGTCGCCGCCAACGCCGGAAACAGCATACCGATGTCTCGTCTTTTGACTCCGTCAAGGCGAGACAAAAACACACAAAAAGCAAAGGAACAGTGCTTTTATTGCTGTTCTTCATCTCAAAGTCAAAGTGAGGCCTTCAAATAATTATCTTCTAAAAAATTCCTTTATTGTTACCATGTCATAATGACAATCAAATTCTAATTAAATTGAATTTTATATAAAGTATAAACTATGTCACAGTTGATTGATTTGTGAATATATTTTATCGTTACTGCAATATTTTCAATGAATGCTTTATTGATCAAAATCACACGTATTCTCTTAAATCTGCAATGAATTCTTTTATTTACCATAAAAATAAATTATTTATCCACTTTATTACGTGTTTTTTCATTTGTAACTGTAATTAAGAAACATACAATCAATTTTCTTCGATATCTTACATTTATTAGGTTTCTATTTCATTGAAAGATTACATAAAAATATGTAAGCAATAAATATCTTTTCTGCTGCAGGAAAACATGATTTCGTGTTAGTCATGTTCAACGCATTAAATTTTCACATGGGGTTAAATTGGGCCCTTTAATACAATATTGTTGATTTGTATTAACTCTGATGATACCTTTATGCATCTGATGTAATTGCAAGATAAGAGAGAAAAATCCCTATCTGAAAATGTCATTATAACAAATTCCTGCAGCTTTTAAAACATTTTCCTTATATTAGTAAGTCGAAGATAGTCAGAAAAAACTTATACATTTGCTTTATTAAGTCAAAGAATAGCTCTAAACCTATTTTTCTACAAAAGGTTGAAAAGATTGCCATTAAAAGTCGTTCAATATTATGAAAAAAAAATTTATCCCTTTGAACTTTTATTTTTTATTTGAAGCTGTAGATAAGCCCTAAAACCTTCTTCTTTATTAATGCAAAGGAGAATCCTTAAACAATTTCCCTATTTTAAGAAAAAATAGCTCTAAAATTTTTAGTTTTTTCAAAAATTCACCAAAGATACCAGGCTTAAAATTTTGTATGCCATACATCTGTTTTCATCTTCAAAAGACTCATTACTGACGCTCAAATCAAAAAAGTTCAAAGTTCAAAGTTAAATAGAATTGAGGACCTGAAATTCAGAAAGGTTTTGCCAAATACAGCTAAGTTAATCTATTCCACCTGGGGTAGAAAATCTTTAGTCTTTAGAACAATTTAAAGTTTAAAGTGAGTAAAAAAATAGCCCCAAAATTTGTTTTCTATATTTGGTTGAAATATGGCCGAAAACATGTTTATCTTTACAAAGTTACAGAATAAGCCTTCTATACAAACTTGAAGAGTCTATGTTTCTTGAAGAGGTCTATAGCATCGTAGACTTTATGTGCTGCCAACAGGTAGGACACAGCTTTGTGGTACTGTCCCTCCAATTCCAGCTGTATAGCATAATCTGTGCAAACAGTTACCCATGATTCAAATGAAGCTAAAAATAGAAAATATTTTACACTCAATAAAGGTCTGAAATAAGAATGTTTCCTGGTGAAATTCAAAATAATGACACTTTTAAAATTAAAAATGATGTTTTTTTTAATTAGACAATACAAGTAGTAGTACATAATTCTTCAAAATAATGAAAAAATTTGGAATGCATTCTACAAATCCCCTGTGTCTTCCTAATGATTGCTGCTATGAGTGTAAAAGAGAAATGGTGACTGCAAAAAACCAAGTCCATTCATCAGTAAATGCATGTGGTGAACGCCACTTTCAGCACTGTTGGATATTTCATGCAGTCCGTTTTTATTGGTAGAGGAAGCCAGAGTGCCCTGAGAGAACCACTGAAGTTTGCCAAGAAAATGGCAATCCTTAGTCAATTTAGACAGGAATCCAACACACCTGCCATGAGCAAGGTTTGAACTCATAACCTCAGTATTGATAGGCAAGTTGATAAATTTCTTAAACCTCTCAGCCCGTGTCAGTAAGTAAAATACAGAAAAATAAAAGAATTAAATTCTTTTTTTCAAATGCTATTTCTTGATCATGAAGATTGAAGCTTCTGTAAAAGTTTTGTAACATTTCATAAAGGTTTAACAAAGTTATTGATGACTTAAAGTTTAACCCAGACTGTTTGTAAATGTTAATAGCTAAAAAACAATGGCAACCTATCAGTCAAATACTGAAAAATGGAAAAACATATTTTCAAATTTTGCTACAGATGTTATCTCTTAATTATAAAATAGCTTCTGTCCAAGTTTCATAAGATTCTATGAAGGTTCAACATGGTTATTGATATTTGAAAGAAAAACTAAGTCTGTTTATCAGTATTATAAGATAAAATGAAAACAAATATCTTCAAAATTATACTCTGGATATTGCCTTTTTAACAAAAGACTGGACCTAAATTTTGACGATAAAGATTAATAAACTGTTGACACAAGAGATTTTTCTCATCTTTATGTAATTCTGATAGTATAGTGCAAATGTTGAAATTAAAATGGCAATACTTTTACATGAAAACTATGCAAAACATTTAAAGCAACTGCCTTGAAATGAGAAATTCCAATGCCGATACATACACAAGTAGTTCCCTTTAAATTGATCTAAGCACAGACTTTTAACATGAAAAGTTAACATTCAATCATTTCTAAAATTGTCGGTTAATAAATTTTGAAATTATTAGAAACTAAGGTTTCAACTCCCTCAGGCAAAGTTGACCTTAGATGGATTTGGCTAATTTTTTTAGGACCTTTTTGGTAGTATCATTGGCTTTCAAATATTCGGCTTTGAGCGTTCCTGATGAAGGTAAATCCAGAAAAGAGCCTTGGACGCATACAATTTATAACATATTGTTTTCATTTTTTTCAAAGTCAATGAAGAATGATGAGGGAGCAGGGTCATATAATCTCCATGGAAATGAGATGTCTAAATGCAAATACAACTGCATACCAAATATCATTGACCTACAACTAGTTGTTCCCCTTAAACTGACCAAATCACATAATTTAACAAGAAAAAGTTTCAAAGTCGAAAGACGATGATTGAGGGGACAAAGCTAAACATTCTCAATGGAAATTAGAAATGCCAATTTAAATGGCAGATATGCAACTGTATGTCTTATAGGAGAAACTTTGCAAGTTTGGTTGAATTCAGAACAGCCATGTATAAAAAGTTGCCTACAGATAATTTTTGTAAGTGAACCACCATGAGGAAGGAAGATTGATTGATTTTTGGTGTTTAACGGCACTTTCAGCACTACTGGCTATTTGATATTTATTGGTGGAGAAAGCAGGAGTGCCTAGAGAGAACCACCAACCTGCTGCAGGTAAACTGACAATGAGGCAAACTTAAGTTAGAGTGCAGAAATGAAAATGGGACAGACAGAAGGATGTACGGTCAGGGGTAACACTTAATGCCCCCGTTGCCTATGGCGGGGGGCATAAAAATATCTTAAATAGCTTTTCTTATAAAAGTAGGTTCCGTTCTTATGATGAATTTAAAGGAATGGGAAGTCTGAATTAAAGGATGGGCACATTTTCCTAAGTAAAGTATGTTCGATCCTTATGATGAATTTAAAGCAACGGGAAGTCTGAACTAAAGGATGGGCACATTTTCCTAAGTAAAGTATGTTCGATCCTTATGATGAATTTAAAGCAACGGGAAGTCTGAACTAAAGGATGGGCACATTTTCCTTAGTAAAGTATGTTCAATCCTTATGATGAATTTAAAGCAAGGGGAAATTTGAACTAAAGGATAGGTACATTTTCCTAAGTAAAGTATGTTCAATTCTTATGATAAAAATAAGGAAATGGCAAGTACGAAATTAAGGAATACAAAGGCAACTTTCTATTAGTTTGCCGTTTCTGTGCCCCTTCGCATCACGGACAGGTGCAAATTACATCCATGTGATATTTCCTGTTACAATTACCAGTATGTACCTTTCTGCACTAACATATATTACATGTGAACTTGATTATTGACATTTTATACCTACATAACTGAATTTATTAAACAATAAAATATACAATCCAGTTCATGTCACAAAATGTGACACCTTTTCAATAAAATATACAGGTTAAACCCAAGAGGACATTTTCCCAACCAAACATATGACAATTTTGATATGATACAAACTTCTGATTTGAAACAGGCTGACCTAAAACATGTCATATCAACAACAAAAGTTACTGGCACGACCATGAACTCTTAACTTGTTTATATTTTTGATTGATCCCTTTGACAATAAGTTTTGAGTTTTAACACTTCATCAAATACCTTTTTTCCCCCTGAAATAAAAATGTTCACCAATTGTGTGCCAGCTACTTGACAATAAAGAGTGTTTTTCTGATAAATTAAGACAAATGAACACCTATGAAAAGAAAATCAAGGACGTTTTTAAGAGTTCATTCACCATATTGCTTAAAGTTAGCATTTTCAAACAAAAACTCAACAGACCAAATCCAGAATTTCAAATTGGATTGTTCTTTTGAATTCTAAAGGTTAAAATTAAACTGTCTTCCAAATATTGTCTTCACCAATATGCAAAATCATGTTTCTGTAAGTTCAGAAATATTTGCAATGTTTTATAAAAATAAAAACTGGCATTTTAAATTTTGAAAGCATTATTTGTATGTAGCATTTTGTGAATTTGCAATAATTTAATTTCCTATTTTTGGTCAATGTTCTATAATTGCTGCAATAATATATACACACAGATATTTATAATCAAAGTGTGAAAGCTTGAATAAAAAAGTGCATGGTTCATGGTTAGAAATTTTGCTAGTTCAATAATAAATTAAATTGCCTTTCAAAAGGATTAAAATATAACCATGGAAATAGTCAGTTTGATTTGAATCATTTCTAGCACACACAATTATAAGAAATATTTGAAGTGGATCAGTTTTGCATGTCATTTCAAACAGAGGTTGTGATTGGTTAACAACATTCTACACAGATGATGTGATTGGTTAATAACCCCCTAAACAATTGAAATTCAACCAATGGTGTAAGCTTATTTTCATTAAGGTGTACCAACAGTGAAAGTTGCCATTTCAGAATCTACAGAACAATGGGTAATTTCATTTTGCATAGCCCAAAAAGAAAACAAGCATTCTGAGAGTATTGCATGGCAATACATAGTCCCCTACCGGGAAAAAATTCATTATACTGAAACAAAAAGCGAACTTGTTCTATAACTTGTCATGGTGTAAAAAAAAAAAATATCAAGTCAATATCTTCATGCATGGCTAAAAACAGTGTGGAAAACTGACTAAATGAGTGAATTTTTCAAGTCCAAGGACCATAACTCTGCACAAAATTATCAGACCGAGATAAAATTTCGAACTTGTTCTGCATAACTTGTCATGATAAAACTATATATACCAATTATTAATCAATATCTTCAAGCATGATGAAAAAAAGTGTGGAAAACACTTTAACATTAGATATGATTAATAGTTCTCTAAAATTAGATATGATGTAATACAGTGTATATCCATTTTCAAATTATAATCAAATAAAATTAATAGTTCCAAATATATTTTCTTTTATTTGTCACAAACTAATATAGATTTGTATCTTATCTATAAAATGTCAACAATTTTTATCTACACAATGTACATGATGTAATGTAATATATACATTAATAAAACTAGATTATTATCTAATTAAAGGATTTCACTTCATAATTTTTTTTATATATATATCACGTATTTAGCATTCAGAAAATTAGTTTATACAAAATAACAAACAAACCTGCCTAAAAATTCTTCAAATAATTTACCAAAGAATGTCTTTTAAAAAATGAGTTATCTTCCTTTGTACAGAAATATGGTTTAACATAGTACTTTAACATAAGTTATGGTCCAGAGTTATGGCCCATAACTCTGGACTAAATCATCAGACCGGAACAAAATTCGAACTTGATCTATAACTTATCATGGCAAAACTATATACCAAATATCAAATCAATATCTTAAAGAACGAAGAAAAAAAGTGTGGAAAGCTGATATGCCGGACTGACGGATGGACAGACGGACGGACAGACAGACGGACAGACAGACAGACGGACAGAGTGCAAACCTAAAGTCTCCTTCGACTTTGTCGGTAGGGGACTAATAATTTCACATCATTAGTTGAATTTCCAATGTTTTGGACATCGTTAGCCAATCACACAATTTTGGAGTATGCTTTCGAAAATTTTACCCATAATTCATTTGATTCTGAAACGGCAAATTACACACAATCCTTTAGATCCAGAATGTAACAAACTGAGATTTAATTAATATTACCCTACCCATTGGTGCCATAGCAACAAGCCAGTCTGAAAGTTCTTCTCTTTCTCTTGCTATCCTGAGCGCTCCAGAGATGTTTCCCTTCCAGATTTCAAGCTGATAAAAATAATCCATGTTATCATTTTCTCTGTGATACTGGCCTGAAAAATAAAGATAAATTGATCATTTCAACTCTTGGATAGCAATTTTAAATAGAGATTGACATATAATATGGGTGACATTTTTCTCCTATTGAAAAGCTCCATGGCCATGTGGTCTGAGAAGATCATCTACAGTTGTCACTAGGCTGACAAACTGAGGTTGTGAGTTTGACGTCTATCTGAATTGAATAGGATTGCCAGTTTCCCTACTGATGGATTGTGGTTCTCTCCCAGTACTCTGGCTTCAAACATCAATTAAAACTAGCCACCACTCTGTATCCTAGGGTGCTTAAAGTGGCATTAAAAACCAACAATCAATCAATTAATCTTCTATAAAAGATTCAATGTTGGTCTCTATTTGATGTCTGATTTCATTTTTATGGTTTTGATTTGCTACTTCATTGATATGTAAACCTACAAATGGTATATATATTTAAATACAACACTACATATGTACAGCCAAACCTGTATATGAAGGTCATCCTCTAAACCAGGGAAAAATTATGTTATTATAAAGAGAGCAGGTTAGGTTCAAATTTTTAATTAAGATTTAAAATGTTTCCACTACACCCAAAAAGCATTGGCCCTAACCATGCTATACCACATCTTCTTATTTATATTAGAAAAAGAAAAACTCAAAATTCGCAAGTTTCCACAATGTCAAAGAAGCATGGGTCTAAATCATGCTGGGGGAAGCTAAAAACTAATAATTTGCAGATTTAATATTGTTCCTCTAAATATCAGACAAAGTATATAAATCATATACGTAGAGACAAACTGTTGTATAATTATAGCTAAAACTCATAAGTTTGTTCCATTTCATAATCTCTTATTATGATATTATAAAGCCGATGACGTCTATCAGCACTATGCTATAGCTATCCCTGTCATTACAGAGATAATATCTTGCAGTAAACAATAATAGTTCAACAACCGGTCATCAATAATTCCAATCTATTACATTAATATTTCCAATAAAGTTTCATATATCAACCATAATTATTTCATAAGCATGATAATATGACAGTAATAAGTGGGGAATGTGTCCAAGGGGACACAGATGTTGCCCCCGCTTGCATATAACATTATAAAGGGATATAACTCAAGAACTGTAAAAGTGATGCTACCCAAATTTGTACTTGATCTGGGTTTTGTGGTAATAAGCATTGTGCATAAGTTTCATAACATTTGGTTGAGGCAAACTAAAGTTAGAGAACAGAAACAAATATTTCAGGAATTTTTCCATTTGTAAAGGGCATAACTCTAGAACGGTAAAAGTGACGCCACCAAAATTCATACTGGATCTGTGTTTTGTGGTAATAAGCATTGTGTATAAGTTTCATAACATTTGGTTGAGGCAAACTAAAGTTAGAGAACGGAAACGAAAAATTCAGCAATTTTTCCATTTGTAAAGGGGCATAACTCTAGAATGGTAAAAGTGATGCCACCAAAATTCAAATTTGATCTGTGTTTTGTGGTAATAAGCATTGTGTATAAATTTCATAATTTCATAACATTTGGTTGAGGCAAACTAAAGTTGGAGAACGGAAACCAATTTTGGGACGTATGTACATACAGACGGACAAGGGGATAAGGGTAAAACTTAATTCCCCCTCCGCTACGGGGGGGGGCATAAAAATCAGTAACGTGTTGACCAATTTTCTTGCAACTAATCAGTCTTTATGTATGTGAATTTTCATTTACTGGGGATTCATAATTATTCGTGTGATGACAATTTAGTTGATTTCTTGGGTATAGGTGAACCAGGAATAGAGTACAAATTTTCTATAGTCTTGTATGCACACTTTGGCAAAACCACGAAATCAAATATGCACCAAAAATTTTTGTTTTTCTCAATCCACGAAAATTGTTGGCAATATATATTTAAATTTGAATTAAGATTTTTTTTAAATTGAAATCAATATGAATAGGTAAAACAGCTTGATCTGGCATACTCTTTAGATTTCAATACGAGCAACTTGGTTTCAAAACCTGACATAATATAAATTGCTCCTGATAAATTCAAATTTATATACCCAGAATCACATAAGAACAAGAGTGAACACTTGATCATGTGACACAAATCAGAACGAAGTTACGATCCTTTCGTAAGCAACATAATTAAAAAAAAATTGGCCACTTGTGTGAATACTCAGGTTAACACTTGAATTGGTTTTGTTGTAATACAGACAGAAATTCTGGGGGTTAGTATCATTATTAATAAAATTTCCAAAAAAATCTTCTTTTTTTTTATCTTTAAAACATTTCAGGGAAAGTTCAAACTGTTATCAGGTCTCCTGCTTGATCTTCGCATCACAAATAAATAAATTTTGACACCCCCCCCCCCTAAAAAAAAAACACCATAACAAACATATCTTAGTACTTTGTATCGATTGTTTAAGTGTTTTATTGCTTTGTTTTTGCTTCTGTTTCTTAATTTAAAATCAATTTGTCCTTTCAATGGTAAAAGGATTTGAGAATTTGTGTATTGAATTGTATTATTTATTGCTTTAAAATTGTTTTTGTTCAACAATATAAAATACATTTCAAAGTTTTTACTCGATTTAACTGTAACAGCTTAAGAGTTAATATATGAATATTTATTCCAATTGACTTTTAAAGAATGAAATAAATTTAACATATTTAACATAGCTTCTTTAAGCTATAATCTTGTAAACACAACCTTGTACTGACTATTTTGTTTTTTTTTCTAATTTAAAACAATGTTATTCATTGGAATAACAACTATATGCAATAAACAGGATTGTCTGTTAAGAAATTGTAAATTTACGTCAATATCAACGATTTAATATATTTTAGACACAGGGTGTGAAGAATGGATCAGTGTATACATTGATATAGAAAAGATATCGTAATTGTTGACGATTATCTCTTCTTGTTGTTATTGATGCAAAATCACAAATATGCCAGAATCATGTGTTAATAATTAAGAAATATGAAATTGACATCAACACTATGGAAATCCACTACGGATGGTTTACAAGGTCAATTTTATGATCTGTAAAAGAACAAAAATTTGCTAAACTGGGGATTTTCTTAATAATCATGGATTTTGCTGGTATAATTATGTGAACCACAAATTAAAATAAAAAAAAAAAATACAAATATTAGTGAGTCTATTATTAAGGCTTAAATGTAGATTTTGTCGACTGGAACCACAAAATCAAATATCCAAGAAATACATTTTTCCTAAATCCATAAGAAATGAACAAGACCCACAAAATCAAATATCCACAAAATACATTTTTCCTTAATCCATAAGAAATAAATGAGACCCACAAAAAATTATGAAATCCACAGCATTTCAAAATATATTTTTGAACTAAAAGAATTTTTTATCAATTCTTCTTGTTTTTTGTTTTGTATTTATATATACACAGGAGTTCAGAAACACTAATTGTTTATCAAAAGTATTACAGATTTCCAATTACTCAAGGTTAAAGATCGTATATCATGACGTGATCTTTATCTTGTGTTTTAAAAATCAAAGATCAATTTCATAAATATGATATGATATTATGATCTGATGTTTACTTCTCCTTGTTAATGCTCAATTAAGCTCAATGAAAAAGTATTAAGTTTTATAACTGAAGGAATAAACCTGTCTGAAGGTTGAAATTTACGTCTTAAAAATAAGTGTTTTTAAGAACTTTGAAATTAACATTCTTCCTTAAGGGACAAAAGTCTGTGATATTTAAAGTATACACACATACAATGCCTGCTTGTAGTATTAACCTTGAAACTGACAATGGCTTTTATTTTAAGGCAAGAAGTTTTTTTTTATTTACAAAAATATTTGGCAGCAAAATTTTACGAAGAAAAATTCCAATAGAATAATTTCAAGAGTACTAATGATACCTAAATGTAAATTGCATTAATTTTTTACATTTTGAAAATATTTGAATTTTTTTAAATTGCTCTATTGGAGACCAGTCAGATCAAGACTGTTGTGTTACTTTTTAAAACTTTTTTTTTAGGTAAACAGACAAACCTCTCAAACAAGAAACTTCAAAAACCAAAACAATAACTCAATAAGCATTGGTAATCCCTTCATAAGTCATTGACTGAGCTTGATAACAGACATTAGATCAGTTACTACTGTTCTATATATACTGCAACAATTTCTACTTTACCTTGAACACAGAGTTAAGTGGTAAAATAGCAGTGCACTAGAAATACTTCACATTACAGGAGAAACCATTCATATACTTTTTGTTATATCCAGAACTTCTAAAAAATTGTGTTGAAACCTAAATTGCTTAATTGAAACTCTGGTATTATCTATGGTAACATTACATATTTCAATTGCTAAAAATTGATTTTCAATTAATTTTTAGTACTTAAGTAAATTTTTTGGCAGCTAATTTCTTACAGCTTGAAGATTTTATTGCTCAAGCAAGTTTCTATTCGGCTAAAGTTATTTTGACATGTACTCCAAGAAAATTCGTCTCAGAACTTCTAACAAAAATATCAGCTTTTTAACTTCTGTTTTCAAGGATATATATATCTTAAAGTAAATTCCTTACATAACTTGAAATTAATTGTGCTACTGGTTTTAGTGGTGAAAAAAGAAGGAAAATTTAACATTTAAGATCTGAAGCAGATGGTTTTCAACAACTGCATTTGTATAACAAAGAGGACAAGTTTCTTTTCACTATTTCTGATTGATTGATGTAGTTTGTTGCTTAACACCCAGTGACTTAAAAAAATAGTCATGTTGTTGGTTCATGTCTGTCATATTTTTTTTCGAAATCGTTTTGTTATAAAGTAGGTCCTTATAGTTTTCTCAATTGAATTGTTTCTTATTTTTTATGTCTTGGCCTTGTTGAAGGCCATATGGTTGCCTATAATTGCTTGCATCCACTTCATTTGAACTTCCGCGGATTATAAGTTGTTTCATTGGCAATCATACCACATCTTCTTATTTTTATAAGGCAATATTTAGAAGAGTGCATGAAATTTATTATTCATGTTTTTTT